GCATAATTCTGTGCTGTAAATGCAGAAGCTCTTATCTTAGGGAGCAGTCAAATGTATGGCTCAAAAGGGAAGAAACAAGTTTTTATAGTGGATATATTTTGGAATATAGTGAGAAAATGAGGGTACAATAACATTTAAGATTAAAAAAAGGATATTAAGGGACACACACACACACACACATACATATACATACATAATATATATATATATATATATATATATATATATATATATATATATATATATATATTTTGTATATGGGGTATATTATTTGAACATCTACTGACTCTCTTAACTTGGTGTCCCTGACTTAGAAAATGCAGGTGACAGTGCAAATTGAGCACGTGAGAAAAAGAGTACTGTACTATACAAATATTTTGGTGTTCGGGTGCAAGTGCGCTCGCAGTGAACATTCTGCCAATTGTACGAGCAAAACCTCGCCCAGATTACCTTGCTTCCCTGTTTAGAAAAAAAGAGCTCTATATGCAGATTCAGCCCATGAATACCAGTATAGAATTTAAGTCTCTTATTAAGAATCATGCATTTATTATATCAGAAAACAAACATTTAGGAAGAAATTTGAAGGAAATATATAATATGTGCATGAGTGCAAGTGGTATAAGTAAGGAATGTCTTAGGAAATTATACTGATATAATGAGACTGTGTAATGCTAAAAGAAAGAGAATAGGTGAAAATATCAAGAGTTGAAAACTGTTTTTTGGTAGTTTGGATATGACTGCATGAAAAATACACTGTATTTGCAAAGTTCTTTAGGAAAAAAAGTGCAGTTTTGGAAAATGCTACTGATAATGAATGCAGTTACAGTCAGTGAAGACTACTTGGGCTATGCCTCAGAGAATAGAAATAAAGAAGTCAAAAAGAATAGTTTATCTATGTGAATTATGCAACTTCATTGGGAAGATAAAACTGTAATATTAACCAGCAGGCAAAACAAGTTTGAGTAATATTTAATCAACATTATCAAAGTTGATTAAATGCTACATCAACTTCACTTGCTAAGATTTGGCCAGAGAGTTAAGTGTAAATACAAGAGTGTGTATGGATGTGGCAACACACCTGGTTCCTCGACAATAGCAATAGGGAAATGACAATTCTTCTAAATAGTGTTTAATTTAAATATAATTGATACATTTTGTTCTAAACGAACAAATCCACTTGTGTATGGTGTAGTGAGGATGTACGGGGCTGATAGCAGAATACTAACAATAATAATGGATGCAGGAGTAAGACGAAGCCTTACTGGGTGACTAACAATTTACATATAAGAAAAACTTAGGGTACACCTGAAAGTGGGATTTTTTTAAAGGGGATGAGATATGTAAAGTAATATCAGAAATTGCTCCCAGAAAAGTTCAACATTGATTAAAATATATAATACAATAATGTGAACGACATTGTAAGACCACTATAACCACATACTCTATTTGAAAGATGTGCAGAAGTTGTCTGAATGATGAGTAAGGGATGCACAATATGAGAGAAACAACATGGAATATGGTATTGCAGTGAATGATTACAAAGAAAACAAGAATGCAATTCAAGGTATTAGGAACATGAAAAGAATAAAGTCTAACAGAATTAATATGAGTTAAATTCTAGTGCTGAATGTAATGAAATGTCTCTTTCTGGCAGGACCCTTAGAGACCCCTGTACTAACTGCCTGGTTAGGTCAAGAGGCTACTAATGGGGGGGAGGGGGTGGGGGGAGGGGGTGGGGGGAGGGGGTGGGGGGAAGGAGGGGGGAAGGAGGGGGGAGCTCCAAGAGAGGTTGGATGCACAATTCAATAAGAATAATAGTACACATTCAAGTAGTATTGAAATGCAGTAAAGAGGCAAGGGAAACAACAAATGTTGAAGTGTAAACAGCAGATGCTGAGATCCAAGATATATGTCAATGGGGAGGAAATATATCCAAGCAACAATACTGACATTAGGTTTGTAAGGAGTATGATCTGGTGGGAACAGGGGAATGTTGGAGGACAATTTGGTGGGGATAGGGAGATGTTGGAGGACAATTTGGTGGGGATAGGGAGATGTTGGAGGACAATTTGGTGGGGAGAGGGAGATGTTGGAGGACAATTTGGTGGGGATAGGGAGATGTTGGAGGACAATTGGGTGGGGATAGGGAGATGTTGAAGGACAATTTGGTGGGGATAGGGAGATGTTGGAGGACAATTTGGTGGGGATAGGGAGATGTTGGAGGACAATTTGGTGGGGATAGGGAGATGTTGAAGGACAATTTGGTGGGGATAGGGAGATGTTGGAGGACAATTTGGTGGGGATAGGGAGATGTTCAAGGACAATTTGGTGGGGATAGAGAAATGCTGGACGAATATAAAGTTTGGAGAAGGGAGGAAAGATGGCCACATATGGAAATTGAAAATTTCCATATGTGGCCATCTATGGCTACGGAAAAAAAAAGGAACCGAGAGAGAGCAAGAACCTGGAGAAACATTGACTCATGAGTTTAATACAGGATACATATGCAGGCAGGGAATGGAGATGAGACCTAAAGTATTGGATGAATGTAGAGATAGTTCTACTACGGTATTTGAAAAGTGTCAAGACAGAATGAAGGAATTACAGATAAATTGGCCTGTTAAATATAGGAACCATGACCTATGATAGAATGGTAAATCAGAGAATGAAAATAAGCAAAAAAAAAATGAGGATTAAGATAAATGAAACAAAAACAATCTTTATAAAGCACTTCCTTTATAAAGAAAGTGCTTTTTTTTGCTTCTCAATTTTCATAATGTGGATTAAAAGTGTTGGAGAAACAGAAGTGCTAACAGTATTTATGAGTTTGGGAAAGTGAGTGTGTCTAGGAAATCCACGGATATGGATTTCCTTCCATTATACCAAACAGTATTTTCTCATATACTGAAGGGGTCCCGGTAGTAAAGTCGGATTCGTTCTCGACACACAATCGAGAATTCTGGGTTTGAATCCCGGGCGGGACAGAAATGGTTGGGCACATTTCCTTTCACCTAATACCTCTGTTCACCTAGCAGCAAATAGGTAGTAAGGAGTTTGTCAGCTTGTTGTGGGGGTTACATCCTGGGCATAGATTAGGCATGAGTTTAGAAAGCAGTTCTTGGCAGGCTGGACAAAAACTGAGTGCACAGAAAGTAGTAAATGGGAGGCGAGGCAGAAAGATACTGCAAACAGATGAGAGAAGACAGGGAGAGAATTTGTGGGTCTTGGGTCCTCGGCTATACGTAATATCACATGGAGAGAAATACTTCAAATAGTTTGCAACTGCCACCTTGTTGTTTAGTGGGAAACTGTTTAAAGATAAGATTATTGAAAAATCTATGACCAGTTAAGGGAAAAAATTCAGATACAGTACAGTGTAATAAAAGAAAGTAAAATATGTATTTAAAGTAAGAGATGATTGATAATAAATGACAAAGATTGTTTGAAGCAATTATGAATAACCATTAACTCTGAAACTGCCAAGTAATTTAAAAGTACCATGTCCAAGTGCACATGAATAAAAGGTACTGAAAACCCATAAAGATCAATCGTAAATGGTGATTTGAGTACAGGAGGTAATCACAGATAGTGATTGGGGCACAGGAGGACATTGCAGACAGTTACTGAAGCACAGAAAGAAGTCACAGATAGCAATTGGAACACAGGAGGAAATCACAGATAGTGACTTGAGCATAGGAGGTATTCAGAAATAGTAATTTGAACACAAGAGAAAATCACTGCAATTGGAGCAGAAGAGGAAATTACAGATAATGTTGAGAGCACAGGAGGTAATCATAGTGACTGGAGCAGTATGAGGGCTAAAGAAAAGTGGCAAAAACCAGCTGAGTGCAGAACCAATAAACATTGGAAGATCCCCATAAAACCCACCCTACCCAAGCAGAGATATTTTCTGACAGGGTAAGAAAGTGCATAAAAGAACTTTTGGCTAAAGAGTATCCAATCATATTTAGTTTTCACAAAGTTCAGACTTTGTTATCAAAACCAGATCCCATACAGTGCTCAAAATTCATGAAACAAGCAATGAATCTATTGCTAAATATTGTTTACTATGTAGCCTAAATCATGGTACAAACATTAGATATTTTCAAGGGCTTTTATGCTAAGTACAAACCAATAATTATTTTTACACACATATTGGATGAGATTATTCAGTAATGCAAAGAATATTATTATACTGTATAGCAGTAATTATTTTTTCTCATAAATTAAAAAATACTGGAACTATATTTTAGTATTATAAATACTAACGTATTTAGTATTTATTCCATTAGGCTAACAAGCAGGCTAAGCTTTTAAGAAAAAAATTATATTATTTCATTGTCATATATTATTTGTATTTTAATTTTAAAAAATAAAAATTTAACTGCCAATGATTTAATTAACAAATTAGATTTTGTATGAATGGATGCAATAAGTCAAAATAACTTGAAAAGAAATGAAAGTGACAAAGTTTTAGTCCATCCTGGATACTTATCAAGTCTCTTCCGACACGAGTTGATAAGGGTTCAGGATGGATCAGAATGTCATAACTTTCCTTTGTTTTCAAATGTGTGAGTTGGGTATTAATTACATTTTGTATATGATATGACAAAGAATATACTGTCCGTCTCTAAAATCTTGTAAAAATAATCAAGTGGTAAGCTAATAGCATAGTTTGATTTCAACTTTCCATTGCTCATTAAGCATTATCCAATTATTGCATGATTTTGAAAATTGATAATCATTGACTGGTTTTCACATGAAGATTTTTCTGAAGTGAGTCTTTGCATTCTTAATACCAAACTTCATGCTAAAATCAATTGCATCTGGAAGATCAGAAAGTAGAAATAATTATCCAGAACAAACTTTGAAAGATGTAAAGCTTGCACCTCCTCCCCACACGAAGTAAGCAAACCACTCAAGCTCAAAAGCTGCAGGTGTCATACGGAAACCATCACTCCACAACACCATCAGCCACGAGAATTCATAAACGGACTAACCTGCAGGAGTGGATGCTGCTGGGGAGTGCGTTGAGGGAGCCGGAGCAGTAAAAGCAGAGTGATGCCGTTCGATCTGTCCCGGTGCATGAGTCACCCGAGGGGAGCCTTGAGACTGGTGACTCCCCATGTTTCCAGTTGGACTCTTGAGGTTTGGAGAAATGTGATTTGGAGAACCAAGTTGTTTGGGTGAATGGTGAGGTGGATTGGTAGAGTGAGTTGGTGCTACCACATGACTGGGGGGCATATAACTAGGCGAAGAGTGGGTAGGATAGTTTGAACCAACCATAGGTGGTCCTGTCGTGGGTGGATTTACTTGCGAAGGATTACCAGTAGGGGGGTTTCCTGTGGGAGGCGTTAAGGGTGGTGGACGATACCCGCAATGATGTCCTGGCGGAGCAGTAGCAGCATGAGGGTGACTGGCTGGAGATGAAGGAGGATATGGTTGATGATGTGGGTGGTGGTGATGGGGTTGAGGATAGTTATGCGATGCTGGATGTTGAGGAGGATGATGAGGTGACGGTGGGTGGTGATGCAGTGGGGGTGGATGATGTGGTGGAGGGGGAGGCGGAGGTGGAGGTGGGTGGTGAGGTGGTGGGGGTTGATGGTGAGGCGGCGTGGATTGATGAAGAGCTGGCGGAGGCTGATGAAGAGGTGGAGGAGGTTGATGGTGAGGTGGAGGAGGCTGGTGGTGAGGTGGAGTAGGTTGGTGAAGTGGTGGAGGTGGAGGAGGATGGGGTTGGTGGTGATGGTGGTGATGGTGGTGATGGTGAGGCGTTCCACCAGGACTCATCACTGGCTGCATAGTGGAAAGTGCCCCGAGTGGTGTGTAGTTATCTGGCTTCTGAGGAGATGGAGGGTAGCTGCTGCTATGTGGCTGGGGCTGTAAACAGACACAAAATCAGAAAAGATAACATGGTACACTGGTAAAATGTCAAAGATCAAGCAGTGAATATAATGAAATGCCTCTTTCTGATATGTATCATTTCAAATATGTAGTGAACAAGTATTTATTAAAACTTGAATGCTGTAATAAAGTCTGTAACTGCATCAATAGTATAACCTAAATGTACAGTTGACGTCGTTCTCAACTCAATAATCGGGGATCATAGGTTCAATTCACAGGCAGGACAAAAATGGTTGGGCATGTTTCATTTCACCCAATGCCTCTATTCACCTAGCAATAAACAAGTACAGTACTGGGGAGTTAGGCAACTGTTGCATGCCAAGGAGGGTCAAAAGCTTGACTTTGGGGGGACCTCAGTACAAGGCTAAAGTATATATATATATACACACAGGCTACCTGTCCCCAACAAAATGAATGATTAGGTACTGTATATGAAAGTCAGTTTTCATGGGTAATAAAAAATCAAAAGTAAAGAGCATATGTAATTTCATGAAAACCATGTGTCAACTGAATGGCATTAATAGTAATTATAGAAACTTTTATATGATTGAAATCATATTGCACAAACCCCCAGATTGAACAAACCAAAACATATCCCAATTTACTTTACAGGAAGCAGACTATAATACTTAGCATCATTTGTTTAATTGGCAAACTATTAAAGCACAACAATGAAAGCAGAGATATTACTAATTTTTATTAAGAAATGCTAACATTACAAATACATTATTTTGTCTGAAAATAATTAGAGTAGGTGGTATATTTCTTTTTTTGTGGCTATCTACCAGGCGTGACTCAGTTCTTTCCATTGTTTACCCCATGTATATCCCAACAAGAGTTCTGTGGCTCAGTGGTCAGTGCAGTTGGTTCACAATCAAAAGAACCTGGGTTCAATTTCCCTAGCAGGACAGACATTTGGGCAGGTTTTCTTACATTTAATGCAGAAAGTAGGTTCACCTAACAGAAATAAGTACTTGAGAGTTAGTCAACTGTTGTGGGTTAGTCGCCTAACTTGGGTACCTATTTAGTGCTAGGTGGAAAGAGAAATCAGGTTTAAGTTCCCCTTAGGCCAACTACTGATCTATCTTCACCAGGATGCAGCCAATAACAGTTACCTAACTCCCAGGTACGTATTTACCACTATACAAAGAGATATCAGGTGAAAGGAAAGATGCCCCCTGACAGCTGAGTGGACAGCGCTTTGGATTCATAATCCTGAGGTTCCGGGTTCGATCCCCGGTGGAGGCGGAGACAAATGGGCAAAAAGTTTCTTTGACCCTGATGCCCCTGTTACCTAGCAGTAAATAGGTACCTGGGAGTTAACCAGCTGCTATGGGCTGCTTCCTGGGGATGTGTAACAAAAAAAAAAAAAAAAAAAGGAGGCCTGGTCGAAGACCAGGCCACGGGGACCCTAAGCCCCGAAATCATCTCAAGATAACCTCAAGATATGCCCAAATGTCTACATCTTGCCATGGAAATTCAATTCAGGACCTTTCATAAAGCCTTTCAACACAAAAAGAACTTAAATATTTTGAAAGATACACATACACGACACTTAAGGTATGCATGAAATACTGTGCATAACTAGTGGATTTATAAAGAATTACTTTACGTACTACTGTATGTAACCAATTTATCTTGCCTAATGTATTGTCTATTATTTGAATAAAATATTATTGTAATAAATTATTTCAATAGTAATAAGAAGCACAATAAATAAGAACACTGTATATTGGTGTTTTGTTCTGAACTCTGTATAAAAATTACCTGTACATGGTGTGTTGGTGGAATGTAAGCCGTCGGGGGAGCAGACGTGGTGGAGCATCCTGTGGTGGTTGTCTTACGTTGCACTTGCTTCACCATGGTTGTGGTTTTGCCATCACTGGAAGTGATACAGTAAGTACTTTCTCCAGAGATTGTGACAGTCTGAGGAGCAGTGGGTGTTTGGGTAGTAATATATGTCCGTGTGGATTCTTCGACAACACTCTTGGGCTCCTCCTCACTCCGAGCCAGGATATCAGTTGTCAATTCGGAGTTGTCTGTCCCATTACCATCTTCTCTATCAGTATCTGTTCCACCTTGATGCTTCACTTTCTTTTTTACAATAATGTGCTCTTCCACTTCTGTTTCACGACTTCCTTGAGCCTTCTTTACTTTTTTGGTTGTTTCCTCAACTGTGATAACACTACTGGTGGTTGTATTCCGAGCCTTTGTAGACTTGACAGATATTTTCCGCTTAATGTCAACATTTGTTACTTCACTTTGAGCTGAAGAGGGAGTAGCTACACCAGCAGCTGCTGCAGCTGCTGCAGCTGCTACTGCTGCAGCTGCTGCTGCTGCTGCAGCTGCTGCTGCTGCTGCTGCTCCTGGTGCTGAGGCTGTTGGAGTTCTTTTACGAGATTCATTGGAGTAACTTGCGGTCATTATTGCTGATGCATTCAAACTAGCCATACGTTTTGTGACAACCATATCTCTCATATCCATGTGCACATCCAACTCTCCTCTTCGTCTCTTCCGTTTCTGTTTTACTTTCTTTTCTGTTTCTTCTTCATTTTTTCTCTTTACGTTCTTTCGTCGTTTCCCACGTTTATCATCATCAGTGTCATAATCTCTATCCTCTTCATCGGAATCTTCTTCTGAATTAGTGTCGTGTATTACTTGATCTCTGAGGACAAGTGCCATGTTTTCATGTTTAGGCACAGGTGATGGGAGGACAGGTAAGGGAGTTCTGGCATCTTCGTTCAAACAATGCATCATTGCACGAGCATTGAGGCTTGCCATACGAGCTGCCCGGCGAGGAGGCGCTACACTCTCTTCTCTACTCTTATTTTTTGACAAAAGCTTCTTGGATTTCAAAATGCTTTTACCAGACTTCTTTTTTCTTGAGCTGGCTTCATATTCACTATCACTTTCTTTGTCACTTTCATCTACTTCAGATGTGTCATCCTTACTCCTTGTGCCTTTTTTGCCAAAAGTAACTTTTTTGCTATTCTTAACTGCTGCCTTTGAATCTACTTTGGAAGACTTCATTGCTCGTCCAGCTGGCACTTTCTTTCTCTGCTTTTTAACTGTGCCTTGATCTTCATCATTTTCCTCAGAGGATGACTCAGATTTAAGACTGCTCTTAGGAGACGGTTTTTCTTTTGCCTGTTTCTGGCTATTGCTATTCTTTTTTTCTTTGGCAATTCTCTTTTTGTTAGCTACATGTCCTATACCATTTTCTTTAACATTTTCTTCATAGTCTACATCATCCTCACAATCCCCTTCTTCTTCAGATTCATCATACCTTTCATCATCACTTTTTTCAAAAAATTTATCTTTTGCAACTACTTTTTTCTTTACTCTTTTGTCTTTTCTTGCTTTGGCTTTCTTTGTCTGTCGTGCACGTTCTGCTGGTGCTGCCCAGTCCTCATCATCGTCACTGATTTCCTCATCACTGGTTTCTTCAGTAGTACATACAATTCTTTTCGGTGAGGTTTTTGTTTTCTTTATCTCTTCACTGTAACTACTTTCACTGTCATCAGATCTGACTTTGGCAATTTTACTTACTTTCATCTGTGTTCCTTTCTTGTCTTCGGTATCGTCCTCGGATTCTGAGACTTCAGAAATTTGCTTCCGAACTTTTCGACTGAAAATAGATTTCTGTGCTTTTTTATGGATACGAGATTTTGTTGATTCCTTCTTAAGCTTGTATATCTTGCCCCCAATAACAACTTTTTTAGGACAATCCGATCTGTTCCCACACAACTTTCCTTTACGTATACCCTGGAAAGACTCCCTGGAATCTTCATCTGATGAGATGGTGTCTGTGCTGGAGTTATCCACTTCCTTCACTTCCCTTTCTCTTTTAACTTTATTGCTTATTTTTGAAGGTTTCTTGTTCCTCTTTGTTGGCTTTTCATCCTTTTCACCCTCACTCTCTGAAAAAGAAAAGACGCTTCTTTCCCTTTTACTTTTGTTGTTTGGCTTTACTACAGTCTGCTTCTTATCTGCTTTATTTTTATCTTTCTTAGGTCTGGCAGGTGGTAAACCATCATTTTTCCTTTTGTTTTTACTACCCTTCGGTCGTCCCCTTTTCTTAGGCACTGGCATGTCGTGAAATGTTGAACACAGGGGCTTACCTTTACTATCGCTACTTAAGGCTCCGTTTTCTTTTTTAAATATAGTAAATTTTTTTTCTCGATCTTCTTTAGCACAAGTCTCTTTGGAATAAACTAAATTGTGCTCTTTCTCACTCTCTGTCAAGAATCTTCTCACGACACTCTTCTTCTTTGGTTTACTTGTGGGAGAACTACCATCCTCACTAACGTCTTTGGTTTCATGCTTGAGCACGACTTTATCTAGTTTTTCTTTGCTAGAGGTTTTAATAGGTGCGTGGTCTTTCATGCTAGGAGAAAGTTCTTTTTCTGGTATGGAAAGTGCATCTCCTACACTGTTGATGGTCTTCTTGGTGTCTTTACACTCTCTCTCCTTTTCTTCCCTTTCTATGTCTGTTCTTTTTCCCAGTTTCACTTCCTTGTCACTCTCCTCTTTCTCGTTCACCATTATTTTTCGAGTTTTCTTTTTACCATTTTCCTCACAGTCTTCTTTCTTTTTTACATCTTTATCACAATCTACTTTTCTCTTCCCATCTTTGTCACCTTCATCTTTCTTTCTCACATCTTTATTACTTTCCTCTCTATTTTTTCCATCATTATCACATTCCTCATTTCTCTTTACACTATTTTCACACTCTTGTTTTTCTTCCACAGCTTTTTTACTTTTCCTTTTCAATTCTTTTTCACTATCATCAATCTCATCAGATTTTTTTACTTTGTTTCTTCCCACTTTATTAACATCATCTTTCTTATCCTCCACTTTTTTCCCCTTCTTTTTCATTTCTTTTTCACTCTCTTGTTTCTCGACACATGCATCCTTTACTTTTTTTCCTTTCCTCTTCCCATCTTTATCACTATCCTCTTTCTCATCACCCGACTTTGCATTAGTGTCACTTTTTGATTCAGAGTTCTGTCGCAATTTTGCGGCTATGACAGGTTTTTTCCCTTTGTCCACTGGCAGTGGTTTTGCACTCTGAGAGGCTGACTTGTTTCCTTCTGTGGAGGCATCTCTCCCAGCTCTGGGCATGTCCTGTTTATCTGACACTAATTTGGTTTTCTGGGTACTTAAACTTTCAACAACTTTTAATGGCTTTGAAATATCTGTTTCTGGTTTTGTGGGAGACTTGGCCCCTTTTCCTGTTATTCTGGCACCATCAAAGGAACTTCGGGCTGGAGATCTACCAGGAGATCTTCGAGCAGGAGACTTCCCAGAGGTCTTGCCAGTTGGAGAGGTGTGTGTTGATGCCCGACCTGGAGACTGGCTGCTAGACTTGGCAGAATGACTTCGAGAAGAAACCCCAGAGGAGGACTTTGGTGAGGACTCACTACACAAAGTGGAGGAAGAACGTTTCACTGGTGTTCTTCCTCCACTACTCCTTCGAGAGCGTGAGGCTGCTGCACTCTCCTTTTTGGTAACCTGAAATTTTTTTCAAACATTAATACAACATTGATCAACCATTGGTCACTGCATATAAAGTTTTATGGCAGACAAGTGCCTAAGGGAGGGATGCTCTTAACTATTTTATGATTACAGGCCTCAAATGGATTACCCAATATGTTTCCAACATGTCGAAATCATCACCACCACCAGTCCCATTGGGCACTTGTATGAGTTCAAAAGATGCCAATACTTTTTAGTTTAGTCTTTACCCTACATAGCTTTTACCCTAGTTTTTAGTTTAGTTTTATCCTACATATGAATAGCTAGGAACAGAACCATTTAAAGAAAATCATAAGATTTCATCAAATTCATTTAAAGAAAAACCACAAATTACAAATACACAAGCTAGCTATAGCTAGTGAAATTTTTGCAGCTGTTTTTAGTACACTCAAAACATAAAAATGCTTCAGTCTCTATTGATAACTGTGATTGTTAATTTTACTCTAACAAAATTTTTGTAAGCTGTTCACTGATCGGGCCTCATACCCCAATTATTGTACTGTATTTGTTTCCTTCACCACCGAGGGATATGGATACTGGGGGTATTCATATCCCTTGGTTGTATTTGTAGGGTGGTAGCCTTCAAATACAGTACTGTAAAATATTTAAATGTCATGTGAATCACTAGTAAAACCTTGTAAACTGCACAATGGGCTATAAAACAAATGTTATACATAGACTAATACTAATTTGTCATTTTACTTAAAATAAATTGTGTTACGTTTTATATAAAAACAATATAAATTTAATTCAGCAGTTTTCTTGCTCAAGTCTGAGAGATTTTTTCTCAATTACTGTACAGTAACTACTTTGTACAGTAGTTAATTTTTATGCCAAAAGTATAACAAATAGATGAGGGATTTACTGCAGATCACTGCAAAATAAACTCAAAGTAATGGATGAGTTTAGGTTCAGGAAAGACATGGGTAAATACTGGTAGGGAACAGGGTTGCTTATTTCTGGAAAAAATTATTGGGTATTATAATAGATGTGGGATTATTGAGTTGTTTCAAGTGTAGGTTAGACTTGTATATGTGTTTGGGTGGTTATAAATAGGAGCCAACTCATACGGGCCTATAGGACCTGCCTCGTATGGGCAAATAGGAGCTGCCTTGTATGGGCAAATAGGAGCTGCCTTGTATGGGCAAATAGGAGCTGCCTTGTATAGACCAATGAGAGCTGCCTCATATGGGCCAATAGAAGTTACCTCATATGGGCCAGTAGTAGCTATCTCGCATGTGCCAATAGGAGCTGCCTCATATGGACCAATAGGAACCACATCGTATGGGCCAATAGGAGCTGCCTCGTATGGACCAATAGGAACTGCCTCGTATGGGCCACTAGGAGTTACCTCGTATGGGCCACTAAGAGTTACCTCGTATGAGCAAATAGGAACTGCCTCGTATGGACCAATAGGAGCTGCCTCGTATAGACTAATAGGAGCTGCCTCGTATGGACCAATAGGAGCTGCCTCGTATGGACCAGTAGGAGCTGCCTCATATGGACCAGTAGGAGCGGCCTCATATGGACCAATAGGAGCTGCCTCGTATGGACCAATAGGAGCTGCCTCGTATGGACCAGTAGGAGCTGCCTCATATGGACCAATAGGAGCTGCCTCGTATGGACCAATAGGAGCTGCCTCGTATGGACCAGTAGGAGCTGCCTCATATGGACCAATAGGAGCTGCCTCATATGGACCAGTAGGAGGTGCCTCGTATGGACCAATAGGAGCTGCCTCGTATGGACCAATAGGAGTTGCCTCGTATGGACCAATAGGAGCTGCCTCGTATGGACCAGTAGGAGCTGCCTCATATGGACCAATAGGAACTGCCTCATATGGACCAATAGGAACTGCCTCGTATGGACCAATAAGAGCTGCCTCGTATGGACCAGTAGGAGCTGCCTCATATGGACCAATAGGAGCTGCCTCGTATGGACCAGTAGGAGGTGCCTCGTATGGACCAATAGGAGCTGCCTCGTATGGAACAATAGGAGCTGCCTCGTATGGACCAATAGGAGCTACCTCGTATGGACCAGTAGGAGCTGCCTCATATGGACCAATAGGAGCTGCCTCATATGGACCAGTAGGAGGTGCCTCGTATGGACCAATAGGAGGTGCCTCGTATGGACCAGTAGGTGCCTCGTATGGACCAGTAGGAGGTGCCTCGTATGGACCAGTAGGAGGTGCCTCGTATGGACCAATAGGAGGTGCCTCGTATGGACCAGTAGGTGCCTCGTATGGACCAGTAGGAGCTGCCTCGTATGGACCAGTAGGAGGTGCCTCGTATGGACCAGTAGGAGGTGCCTCGTATGGACCAGTAGGAGGTGCCTCGTATGGACCAGTAGGAGGTGCCTCGTATGGACCAGTAGGAGCTGCCTCGTATGGACCAGTAGGAGCTGCCTCGTATGGACCAGTAGGAGCTGCCCCGTATGGACCAGTAGGAGCTGCCTCGTATGGACCAGTAGGAGGTGCCTCGTATGGACCAGTAGGAGCTGCCTCGTATGGACCAGTAGGAGCTGCCTCGTATGGACCAGTAGGAGCTGCCTCGTATGGACCAGTAGGAGCTGCCTCGTATGGACCAGTAGGAGGTGCCTTACAGGGGCCAATAAACCTTGAGCCATTTCACTTATTCAGTTGTTCTAAAGACAAAGTGCTGAGTTTACCTTACTGATCTTACCTCACTGACCTTAGCTTTAAACTTAAGAGTGGAAGTCTTCCTGAGTGTAGGGGTCTTAAGACGTCTTGTGCCGCCACCAGCACCACCTCCTCCTCCTTGCTGCCTCCCCTTGTGCTGAGTTCTGGAGCCTGCTTTCATACCTTCATCGGCCCATGCTTCACTCTGGAAAAAAAAATAATTGCTGTAATGTATGGCTTCAGTCACCATGTGCCACAAACCAGCGTCATATTTTATCTCTAAGCAATAAAGATTGACTTTATATTTAATAACTGGCAAACACATTAAATATGTACTATAAGCCTACTAATGCCTGACGAAAAGAGTGACATTATTAATAAATGGCCCACACACTACATTTGCACTATAGGCCTAGTAATACCTGAACATAAAAAGGGTACTATTCTATTACAAATGGTTCACATACATACAAAATCTGTACTAAAAGCCTACAAATAACTGGAGAAGAATACCCATATAAATGACTGTAATCCCTGGTTCCTCCCACATATTTATCTCGAGGATACCCCTGACGTGGTTCCAAGGATCAATGTCCAAGTGGCCCGGTCAATTACCTGACTTCCTGGTCAACCAGATTGTTAGTTGCTGGTGCATGCAGCCTGATGTAGGAGTCACAGCCTTGTTGATAATGAGTTCCCTTGGTCATTAACTTCGTGTTAACCACCGACACATTCAGAGGATACTTATTTATACAGGTAATGTATAAAATTAATATGTTAATATAAATATATCTTATGCATCAACTGATACATGGCAGTTTCATATGAATCACAAGTATGTCATGTAGCTCAGTAGTCTACGTCCTCGTCTAACACCCGAGGGACCTGGGTTTACTCCCGAGCGGGACAAAAATCGTTGGGCACACGTCATTTCACCCGATTCCTCTGATCACCTTGCAGTAAATCGGAATCCGTGCCAGGTAACTGTTGTGTGTTGCATCCTGGGAAAGGTCAATAGTTGGGAATGGTACAGATTTCCTGTCCCCGACAATGGAAATTAGCCGTGAAACAAGTTTTAACCTTGTGGAAAACTAATACAGTACTTCACCCACATTGCTAACTACGTCACAAGCACACAAACTTAGTTGTTGTTGTTATAGATTCAGCTACTCGGAACAAGTTCCAAGTAGCACGGGCTATGGTAAGCCCATAGTGGACTTACCTGGCACAGGAGCGGGGCTGTGAGGGCTTAGTTGTTAACGAGGTATGTTCAAATAGTAAACAGGACTTGTTAATAAAGCTGGTTTTCTATTTGTCATAACCATATACAGTACAGGTATATATATTTAGGTTAGGCTGTGTTAGGTTCTGTTGGAGTAATGGGGTCAAATCGTACAAGGACAATTAAAAAATGCAAATTTTCTGCTTGTTAAAACCATACATACTGTTAGGTTAATGTGTATTAGCTCAGAATGGGCTGGCTTGGATTGGACAAATCAGGTTAGGTGAGGTTATATGAGTTTGAAAATCCATTGTGCAAGCGCCTTACGTATAATGTGACTTGTAGTCGTTATTAACAGATTACATGAAATATTGGACTAAAATATAGATTAACATTTGTGAAATTGCTATATTTAGTTTCATTTGCCATCTTAGTACATTTCCTCTCTCACAAACGTTCACTGGCTTACTTACATCTCTGGCCGCTCGCGCACTCACTCACACGCACGCATAGAATGTCAGTCTGTCTGTCTAAGGCAGGAGGGCATATGATTAGGGTTAGTATCACCCAACTTTGCATAGTGAGTACTTAAGGGTAAATGACCAACATTGGTGAGTCGAGGTCTGCTCCAGTTATCCTACTAATAGAAGGTTGGCTCCCATTGTGACCATCTTAACACACTCCCTAGAAGAGAGCCGGTCGGCCGAGCGGAAAGCACACTGGACTTGTGATCCTGTGGTCCCGGGTTCGATCCCAGGCGCCGGCGAGACACAATGGGCAGAGTTTCTTTGACCCTATGCCCCTGTTACCTAGCAGTAAAATAGGTACCTGGGTGTTAGTCAGCTGTCACGGGCTGCTTGCTGGGGGTGGAGGCCTGGTCGAGGACCGGGCCGCGGGGACGCTAAAAAAAAAAAGCCCCGAAATCATCTCAAGATAACCTCAAGATAGCCTAGCCTCACAAACCCCAGCCACGCGTAAACCACACGACCATTTTTATTGTTATATATATTCTGCATTTTTTAATGGATCCCTGAGCAAAAGAATTCGTTTATATGATCAGGTTTTCCCTCAATACTTCCTCCAAGATGCCTAGGAAAATAGCCACGTACAATATTTATTGTTAACTGTTGGACTGTGTAACATATTCATGATGTTGCTGTCCATTGTTCTCACAGTATCTCTTACACGCTGCCTCACCTTGTTCACTAAACCTCTCTTGAACTGGCACGTGAGGCGTTTCTGGGGTTCTATATCTTCCTTCGAGTGGTTCTCGGTTCTATACCTACTTTGAGGTGGTTGTATACTTACCTCAAGGTCGTTCTTGGGTTCTATATCTATCTTTAGAAGGTTATGGAGGGGAGGGTGGGGGGGGGGGATTCCGTCTACATTGAGGTGGTTCTGAGGCCCTGTAGCTACCTTGATACCTTGGGGGGTGGTTCTTGGGGTCTTTACATACTGTGAGTCTACCTTTAGGTACTTCTGGGGTTCTATACCTAATTTGAGTCAACCTGGAAGTGTTACTTGGGTTCTATGCCTACCTTGAGTCTACCCTGATGTTCTTCTGCGGTTGTATATCTACCCTGAGGCAGAGGTTCTGCCTCAGAGGTTCTAGAGGTTCTGCGGTTCTATAATTTTCTTGAGTGAGTTGTATACCCACCTGGAAGGGTTGTGGGATCAGAGTGCCCACGGCCCGGTCTCTGCTGTTTTCCTCAAAACTGAGGTGCTGAATTGAAATTAAAGCACCGTATTATTGACGTTTTCTGTACAACGGCCTCGATCCGTTAGGTGAATTGATTGGCTTCGTACGTTCCTGGTTAAGCGAAACAGTTTCATTTTTTACGTAGTGGTAAATGATGCGATCAAGGCCGGAAGACTGGAGGCATAGGAGAATGAGGTGAAGGTTAGCATGGAACAACATAGATAACGACCCAGTTACCCGATGACAGTAGTTACGGGGAACATGCCTTGCAAATCAAATTACCTCCGTCATTTCCTCAATTTATCAGTGTAAAAAATGCGACAGCTTCCCTTAAGTCAAAACGTAAAAAATATGTACTGTTTTTCCTTAACCAGAAACATATCAACCCAGGCAACCCACCTAACCTATTGAGACCGCACATCAATATTATGGTGCTTTAATTTGTATTCATATGTCGTATTTTTAACAAGTTGGTGGATTGTGTACGAAATGGTAGTTGGTACAAACCCCCCTCCCCGAGTTTTTTCCTTAAGTGATAGTCATTGTTTCCTCAGTAGCTCTCTCTCTTCCTCTCTCTCTGTCTCTCTGTCTCTCTCTCTCTCAGTGAGCGGCCATCTTTATACCTGTCTCTGTCCATTTACAAATTGTTCAAGGGAATCTTTATTAAATTGTCGTGACAGATGGTTGTGTGTGTGTGTGTGTGTGTGTGTGTGTGTGTGTGTGTATGTGTGTGTGCGCGTGCGTGCTTGTCATCGGGTCCAGAGCCAGGCTGTATCAACCCACTGCCTGGCCACTAACCAAACCTGTACATCTTACCTCAATTATGCCGACTTAGTAGCCATTTACCAGTGTACGACCACGGAAGCCGTATGAGGTCGTCTCTAACAATAATAACCTTGGGCAGAGAACGACCTCTCTGTGCTTCTAAGATGGTAAACTGTTTAAGACATACAAAGCCGCCGTGAGTGAGGAAAGATGTACAGGTTTCCAAGGTGGACACACAGGTATAAAGATGGCCGCCACCAAAGCCATGACGTCATACATCGTAACCTCTTAAAATTGTCATTCAAGACTTGCGAAAATTGTCAGTTTAAAGCTTTACAAAATTGTCATTTTAAAGGTTTTTAAAATTATTATTTTAAAGCTTTGTAAATTGTCCTTTTACAGCTTCGTGAAAATTGCAATTTTAAAGCTTAGATAAACTGTCAGTTTAAAGCTTTGCAAAATTGTAATTTTAAAGCTTTGCAAAATTGTAATTTTAAAGCTTTGCAAAATTGTCAGTTTAAAGCATAAATTGACATTCTAGAGAAAGTAATATTGGCATTACGATACTTATATTAATTATTCGTTACAATATCTGACACAACTCACAATACATGACACATGACACAGGACACATGACACAATCACTACACCAACAGTGCTGCCAGATGTACGACGACCCTCGTTGGCCCAAGTCATGCAAGATGTACGACGACCCTCGTTGGTCCAAGTCATGCAAGATGTACGACGACCCTCGTTGGCCCAAGTCATGCAAGATGTACGACGACCCTCGTTGGCCCAAGTCATGCAAGATGTACGACGACCCTCGTTGGCCCAAGTCATGCAAGATGTACGACGACCCTCGTTGGCCCAAGTCATGCAAGATGTATGACGACCCTCGTTGGCCCAAGTCATGCAAGATGTACGACGACCCTCGTTGCCCCAAGTCATGCAAGATGTACGACGATCCTCGTTGCTCCAAGTCATGCAAGATGTACGACGACCCTCGTTGCTTCAAGTCTTGCAAGATGTACGACGACCCTCGTTGCCCCAAGTCATGCAAGATGTACGACGACCCTCGTTGCTCCAAGTCATGCAAGATGTACGACGACCCTCGTTGCTTCAAGTCTTGCAAGATGTACGACGACCCTCGTTGCTCCAAGTCATGCAAGATGTACGACGACCCTCGTTGCTCCAAGTCATGCAAGATGTACGACGACCCTCGTTGGCCCAAGTCATGCAAGATGTACGACGACCCTCGTTGCTCCAAGTCTTGCAAAATGTACGACGTTCCTCGCTTTTGTATTTTTTTTACAGTTCAACAATGTTGAATTCAAGGAAAATGCTTATAAGAAAGCCTAACAAAAGGCTTCTTGCCTTAGCCAACATTCTCAGTACTAAAAATTACAAGATAAATTCTTTCTAACGTTCAACAAACCAGAGGTAAAAAAAAATAGATTCAAAGCTCCTTTTCTTTTGTATTTGATCTATTCAGTTCATAATAGCTTAAGAATTAGTGTAT